CTTTCCAGATGACAGTATTTGATTTGTTCAATCCAAATTTTCTAAATGATTATTAAGACTCTTTTAAAGTAAAAATGGCGTATTCAAATCCCACAGTGTATTTCCAAAACTAGACATTACAAAATTCTGAATTAATAACTGTTTTCTGAAAAATCTATATCTATAACATCACTCAAAGCAGAAGTCTTAAGGTTAAGATTTTACACTGGTCCTACTCGAGATTCTCAAAGAAGAAAAATGTGAGGCTCTACATAAAGCCTCAAATAATGTCAAGTGTAATTCTACATTCTATTTTGTTTTTAAATTTTAATCATCATCATCATCATCATCACCATTAGGGGTTGAACTCAAGGGCAATTTACCACTGAGCCTCATCCCCAGCTCTTTTTTCTATTTTATTTAGAGACAAGGTCAAAGTTGCTTAGGGCCTCGCTAAGTAGCTGAACTGCCTCAGACTCAAATTTCAAGAATGAGCCACTGTGCCCAGCTACTACATTCTATTTTTAAAAATGATCACCAACTACAAAATTCACAGAAGGGCCCATGTCAAGGTACTACTTGAAAAAAGGAAAAGAAAATTATCCACTATTTTTATGTTAAAAAACTGTTTTATGTTTAAAAAAACTCTTAGTGGGGAGGAGAGTCCTATACATAGCACAAAACACAGAAACTGTAGATGATTTAACTACTTGGCAAAAACTACAAGAAACAACATCAAAACAAATTAATAGGACCAGGGTTGTAGCTCAGTTGTACAGCACTTGTCTCACACAGATGAGGCCCTGGGTTCGATCCTCAGCACTACATAAAAATAAATAAGTAAAGGTACTGTGTCCATCTACAACTAAAAAAAAAAAAAGTTAATACTGTAAAAACTCTGTAGCCAATATCATGGACAAAAGAATAACTTCCTTAATCTATAGATACATCTACTATAAATCTAGAAGGTCAGATAATAAAAAAAAAAAAATCTAGAACTAGAGTAAAATTCAAAACAGTGTTTGGATTTGAGGAGCAGAAAGAACTTATGCTGCAGAAGTCCACAGAAAATTTTGTGGACCCTGTAACCAAAAAGATTTGTTCTTACTGCGGCCTGAGGAAGTCAAATGCTGAGAGACAGGATGATGGGGGAGGAAGGGATTATCGGCTATAAACCAGCAAGTTGGAAGATGTGGACCCTGTCCCAGGAAAAGTCTTCTTTCTTAGGGGTTAAAAGTACATGGAGTTTCTAGGGATGGGCGGGGGGAGGCATAATAGATAGGTGGGTAGCAGAGTAGTTATAAATTTCAGGTGATTGGCTTTTCTGATGCAGGGGCTGCTGTTTTTTTTTTTTTTTTCTTTTTTTTTTTTTGGTGCCATTTGAACCCCAGGGCTTTGTACATGCAAGGCAAGTACTCTACCAACTGAGCTATATCCCGAACCCAGGGTTGCTGTTCTTTGTAGGTGGCCAGATGTTCCAAGTACTGTTAACACTAAAGAAAAGGCATTGATTAGAAAGCCTTCTGACTTTTTTTTTTTTTTGCTTCCTTTTCTCAGTAAACTAGCGGGAGACTAATAATATGTTCCCCAGCTGAATGATCTTCAAAATTAATGAACTTAAGATCAACTAAAAGCAACTGGATCTCGGTAAAATGTATTTAATTTCCTTGGTTAAAATACTAGTCATGTTCTATTTCTCTCTCATTCTTTTTTAAAAACTTGAAGTGTAATAGTTATACATAGTAGTTGGATTTGTCCTAGCATTCCATTTGTTTTTAAACTAGATGGTGGTCTGGTGTGATGGCGCTCACCTGTAGTTCCATCAACGCAGGAGGTCGAGGTAGGAGGATTATAAGTTTGAAGCCAACCTCACCAACTTAGTAAGGCTCTAAGCAACTTAGGCAAGACCCTGTCTCAAAGTAAAAAGTAAAAAGGACTTGGGAGGTAAAGCACACTTGAGTTAAATCTCTAGTACTAAATAAATAGATAAATAAGTAAATAAAAAAAATAAACTAGATGATGGATTCAAGTATTTTATTATTATTTAGACTTTCTGTGTGAATATAGGTATGTGTGTGAGTAGACATGCATATTGAGATAATGAGGCATACAGGTAGATCCCCCATAGGCAGACAGGATAAGGGCCTCGAAGAAGGAAAGTGGCGGGGGGGATGGGAGAAGAACATCATGTTATTCTGGAAGGACAACATACCCATTACTTGCTGCCCCGATAGCTTCAACCACAGTGGTCCTTGTAAATACAGTCCCTGCTAATCACCTATGCTAGGCCATTAGATATGCCTTTAAAAACTCCCAGGGCAAAGAGCCCACCAATGGTACCCTCCCTTGGAACACTCCCACAATGTGGGAGTCTTTCTCTGCTTTACATAAATAACAATACTTTATCCACTGCTTGTCTGTGGATCTTATTCCTTGAATTTGCAAGACAAAGAACCCATCTAACAGTCTTGGAGGAGCATTATGATGTCTTAGTTCATTTTGTGTTTCCATAGCAGAATACCCAAGACTAGGTAACTTATAATGAAAAGAACTTTATTGGTTCACAGTTCTGGAGGCTGGGATATCTAAGATGAAGGGTGTCAGCCCCTGGTGAAGGACATCTAGAGGGTAAGAGAGGAAGAAAATAGAACCTACTTCCACAATTGTGGCAAAAATACATTCATGAGGATGGAGCCTTCTGACCTAATCAATCCCCACTTAAAAGTCCAAACTCCTAATACTGTTACAAGGAAAATTAAATTTCAACATGAATTTTTAGAGGGGATAAATAATGAAAATTGAAAGCAGATTATTGACAGGGAACTTAATATATAAAACATACTAGTATGCTTTTTGAATATACAAATAGCTGTAACAAGAAAATAAAAAAAATGTAGAGCTAAATAAAGGGATTCCATGATTATGTTACTTTGGAAAAATATATGGAAAAGTATGCTATAATTGGCCTATTAAAAAGAAATATGCACATGCTTGTATATTTACAGACTCTGGAGAGGGATATTTAGTTGAATGGAGGAGTAGACCCGGGGAAGTGTGCGCATTCAAATGATAAATTTTAAAAACAAGTTTCCACATAGGCTTGTAATTTAGCCATTCAAGCAAATTAAGTGCATCTTGTAATTATACATAGGACAATTCCAGTTACACAAATTAAAACCTTAACAGAGGAAAGGGAATTGCAAGAAATACTCTTTATCAAATTAATTATAGCTGTATTTGGGTGATGGAACTCAAGGGGGATAGTTTATCTTTCTTCATTTTCATAATGACAGCTCACTCGACACTTAATAACACAAACTTTCAGTGTTTTTCTTAAGCTATCACACAGTTATCCTGACAATATTCCAAAGAAGATAGTGTATTCCTTCCTCTAACAAAAGGAAAATATTAATTGCTTTCTTAGGTCATTCAACAGTGATCAGAGTCTTTCATGGCCTATTGATGAATCAATTGCAAGTTACCTCCTGTGATTACTGAAACCACATAGTTCTGTCTCAGGCTTTCTCTGGTAGATCAGAATGATTGTGAACTAGAGTGACTTTCTTCCTGGGGATGGGTAGGGTAGGAAAGGAGACCTATTATTTTACATGGGGACTTAAGCTGGATTTTGACATTGCCTCTGAGAATACTGTGAATGTAGCTCCCCAAATTTTGTCCGATCAAAACCAGAGCCTGAATATATATGTGTGTCTGAGTACAGATAGTGATAAAGGAAACGTGGCCAAACAGAAGGTATGTAGATGTTCATTAGAATCCTTTTTCAACTTTTCTGAGGTTGAAATGTTTTCAGAATAAAAAGCTAAGGCTAAAGAAAGAAAGAGAATAAAAGAAAGGGAGGTCTGTCCAGGAAATCTCTCCAAACGGTGGAAACTTAAGATACGAAGTTTCCTAAACTCAGCCAGTTTATAGAATCAGAAGCCAATTGGGAGTGCAGTTGGGTGAACAGCATCTTTGGTTGGTACCACCAACCAAAAGAGTGGTACTTTTGTGTCAGACACCATTGTTCCTTCTCTTTATTTTTCTTGTAGTATTTTTATTACTGTAGTCTTTGAGAACCATCCTGACTACATATTACCTACATTAGCTATGTAGTCCTTCTATTACAATATTACCATCCACTTAGTACCTTAAAAATACATATTTGTCATTTAACACATCAAGAATCAGGAAAGAGTCAGCTAGATCCTCTGCAAATATTCTGCTATAGATGAATGTTTGTGTTCCCAGCCCCTCCAAAAAAAAATTATATGTTAAATCCTAACATCCAGCTGGGTGTGGTGGTGCATGCTGGTAGGCCCAGAAGCTCAGGAGTTTGAAGCAGGAGGACTGCAAATTCTAGGCCAGCCGGGACAACTTGGCAAAACCCTGTCTTGGAATAAAAATTTAAAAAATTTAAAAAGGACTGGGATGTGGCTCAGTGATAGAGTGCCCTGGATTCAATCCCTAATACCACAAGTAAATAAATGAACTTCAAATATCTTGTGTGATTACACTAGGATGTGAGGCTCTGGGAGATGAATAGGTCATGAGGGCAGAGCCCCTTGTGAACAGGAATAATAGCTTATGACAGAGGCCACAGAGAGGGTCTTTTCCTCTTCCACCATGCAAGGAGATGGTGAGACAGTGGCCACCCTGTGCACCGGGAAGCAGACCTTTGCCAGACACTGAATCTGCCAACTTCTGGATCTGAGTTTTCTATTTCAGGAACTGTGGAAACATTTTGTTGTTTATGAGCCCCTCAGTTTGTGGTATTTTTGTTATAACAGTTCAAACAGAATAAGAGAGTGATAATCAAGGTTTCCAACAGTTACCTTCTGAAGCTTGACTGGGAAGGATTCCCTTCTGAGCTCAACTGGTGGCTGCAAGTGCTCAGTTCCTTGCAGGCACTTGGACTGAAAGACTCAGGCTGTTAGCCAGAATGGCCCTTTTCTTTGTCCAAGCCAGCAAGGGAGAGAGTATTCCAGAAAAACAGATGATACAATCACAGAAGCAACATCATATTTCTTCAATGATGTTTTATATGTTAGGAGCAAATCAGATCCCCCCCCCACATTCAAGGGGAAGAGATTTCATAGAGCATCAATATCAGAGTACGGTAGTCATGGGCCACTTTAGAGGCGATCACCATACCTCTAACAAAAAGAAGAGGGTCCAAAACTCCATTCAAATTGTTGAGTATTATGCATTTGTGATGACATTTTATATTCTCAGATCCATCTTGAAAATCAAGGTTTGCAGACTCTCCATTGATTGACTCATCATTGAGGATCCCACACATTTTAATAAGTATATCCCATGTGCCAACCACTGGGGTATTGTTTGGAATACAGACTCTAAGACAAACTCCAATTCTAAAAGAATAATGCTTCTATTTGATTTGACCAAGGATAGAAAAATGCAAATCATGGCTGTGATTTTACAAATCTTTTTCTGAGGGAAACTCTTCTTAGCCATCTCTAGTCCTTGAAATCCTTAAATTTATCCAGGATATCCTCAACCTTCTTTTGACAATGAAATAAGTAATTCCTGTAAGATCTTGATTCTGGGAAAGGGCCCAATTAGGGAGAGGGCAGGAAACCTGTCAATACTGAAATCAGAAGTTGGCATCCATCAAATGGGGGCCCATATGGATATTCTGTCACTGGTGTCAGTTTTAGTGGCTATGAGAACCATCTGGGGACCTTTAGTCTTCACATGTCTAGTATGTTCCAAGCACCAAGCACTTCAGTATTATTGGTTCATTTAATATTTTCTAATAACCCAGTGAGACTATCACAATTCTATTACTTACTCTTTTGCAAATGAGGTTCAAGAGGGCTGATGTGCGTCCTTTAAGGACTCATAGCTTATCAGGAATAGAAGGGACACAGCTGACTTTGAGACCAGGCACACAGTCTAGCCATGTGTTCCTCTGCAGACTCGGGTACCAATTTACTCGTGAGGAATGTGGTAACTCATGCTCCAGCCTCCTGAATGGGTCCTACTTTAAGTGAAGAAAAGGATACCCCGCTTTCTTTGTCAGCCATATTTGTCATTTACTAGAAAGTTCAGATAGAAATTAAAATTGGACATAAAATTGGACTGAAATCCTCTCCTAGTGCTTTCTCCACTGATGATCATTTAGAAGAATAACATTTTTCAAGAACCTTCCAAAGCTCAATGATACTCTGGTGGAAACTTTATTTTTTTTTCTTTTTCTTTTTTTCTAAGTGATGTCCATAGGTATTCTATCTCTTTAGAATGAGGTCGCCATTTTCCTCAAGGTTACTTGTTAATTCTGACCCTCTGGGCAGGACCATTCTAGAAGCTCCAAGAGTAAACAGTAGTCTCAGTGTCCCTGGGCCTTCCTTATCACAGCTTCCCAGAAGAAAGTTGTCTATTTTTTTTTAATCCCTCAAGATGATTGTTTAGTTATATTCTGCCACAAGGACATTCTTCTTAGAATCTCAAAGGTTTACACAGGACTAAAACCCCACCAGATTAACATTTAAAAAAATTTTTTTTTGGTTGTTAGGATTGTATTTGAAAGTCCAAATAATAACTTTCTATTTCTCCTGGATACTAAAGTGAGGATTTGGCCACAGTGGGCTCTCCCCTCCCCCCACCCCCATTTGGCAACATCCTCTCACAGTGGGAAGCTCTCTAGCACATCCCACTATCAGGGCTCTGCTTGGTGCACCTGTTCCTCAGACCTGGGAAATTTCCACTCCCTGCTCTGGATGTGCTTACTCAGTGAGGTCTAACAGCACCAGCAGCACTGAGGCCTTCTCAGAAATGCAGCATTTCAGGTCTCGTTTCACACTTGAGTAATCAGTCTACATTTCAGCAAGAGCCCAGATGATCTCATTGCAGGTTAATGTTTGAGGGAACCTAAATACTTCCAGTCTCATCTTTTTTCATCACATACCCAAGTGCAATTTTATATTCCCACATCATTGAAATCCTGGTGAATTTCCTACTCAGAAGGGCTTTTCTTCTTCTTGTCTTTGTTGCTTTGTAATCCCATCAGCTTGGGAGGCTGAGGCAGGAGGATTTCAAGTTTAAGGCCAACCTCAACAACTCATCCAGGCCCTGTTTCAAAATAAAAATAAAAAAATAATAAAAAGGGCTGGGATGTGGCTCAATGGTTAAGTGCACCTGACTTCAATCCCTGATACCAAAAAACAAAAAAAAATTTAGAAGTCATTTGGATTCCTCTAAGAAGACTTTTCAGAAACTCACTGCTCTTTCCCCACTCTATCCTCCTGAGCAAGGTAAGCATTCCTCCTCTCTGTTCTACTAATAATTTGCTAATAATATGATTCTCCAAGATTGCAAGTTGACTTCTATAGATGTCTAGATTTTAAACTTTTTTTTTTCTTTTTGCAATACTGGGGATTGAACTCAGGTGTAATCTACCGTTGAGCTAAATTCTCAGCCCCCCCTTTTTTTTAAGACAGAGAGAGAGAGAGAGAGAGAGAGAAATTTAATATTTATTTTTTAGTTTTCGGCGGACACAACATCTTTGTTTGTATGTGGTGCTGAGGATCGAACCCGGGCTGCACGCATGCCAGGCGAGCGCGCTACCGCTTGAGCCACATCCCCAGCCCAGCCCTTTTTATTTTTTATTTTGAGACAAGGTCTCCCTAAGTTGTCAAGCTTAGATTTTGAATTTCTTGTGAGCACGAAGAATGTTTTTTGGTTTTGCTTTTGTGCTATAGATTGACTCCAAGGCCTTGTGTATTCGAAGTATGTGCTCTACCTCTCCCCCACTCCCTTGCCCATGGAGAATATTTTATTATTCATTTTTCTAGCATTGGGTTCTATATCTAGTTAAATGGAAGCCACCTCCCCCACCCCCCAAAAAAAAGGTTATATCCATGCCTTAATTTCTGGGACCCATGAACATGACCTATGAAAATTGATGGTACCAAGATGAAATCATTCCTGTTAGATCCAGACAAAATTGGAATAAGGAAGTAATTAAGAGGGAGTGCTCATGCCTACTTACCTGAGATAAATACTGTTTCAAGAACTTTCTAAAATCCTACAAAGATTCCTTCCTGTTCTACACACAACCATGCTTTGTATGTACAGGTTTCTGCAACAGGGTTTATCTTTAACAGTCTTGAAGACTGCAAAACGCTTGCTCAGAAGCAGCACCTCCAATGAGTTGGCTGCCAATTCTGCCTCAGATCTCCAAGACCAGTGAACTTGGTATCCTAGTAACTAACAAAGTTTTCCCCTCTTAGCTTTAAAAACTTTTCCTTGCCTCAGCTTCCTTGAAAACACTCTCCTACTATATACTCCCATTGCAGTGCTATTCTATTTCTCAATAAACTTAATCAATCTTTAGAGAATCTCTGTAATTTCAGTTGACAGGCCTTTTGTTGGCAAAAGGGTCTTTACAGATATAATTAGGTTAGAGGTCTCATTATGAGACCATGCTGGCTTATCAGGTGGGCATTAAATCCAATGGCAAGCGTCCTTACAAAAGGCACACAGCAGAGAAGGGGTCTCCTCCATGTGAAGACAAGGATGAGTCCAGTGAAACACAGTCACAAGGAACTCCCGAAGCTACGAGAAGCTTGAAGAGGCAAGAACTTCAGAGGGAACGTTCTCCCCTGTCAACACCTTGATTTCATGCTGCTGGCCTGAAAATTTCTGTTCTCTTTAATCTACTCAGTTTGTAAGACTCTGTTTTGACAGGCAGTCATAGGAAACTAAGTGCCTAACATATCATTTAATAATTTTCTAAGTGCATTATAGAAGCTGCCAATCTCTGAGCACCAATTTAGTCACCAAGCATGTTTGCAGATGCTTTGAACAGGTAACCTGGAGATTGGGTGGAAACACGGTTTGTGAAAAAGGGTATATAGATGCACAAAAGAGAATGGAAGCAGAGGAGAAGGATGTTTGTGTATTACACATTTCCCGCCCCCCCCCAAGGACTTGACTAAGGGTGAGGCTCTGAATAAATCAGATAGACAAGATGATCTACTTGTGCAAGTTGATCTGCTTTTGTCAGCTTCCAGCCTGTGCTGGGTCAAGGACTCATGAAATCTTGAAACACTAATATCATCATTTGAAAAGAAGAACAAGACATGGGCCAAGGTCAATGAGTCAAAGAGCAGTTTAAAACTCTTCATGTTTATCCTAATTGTATTCTCCTGTATAACTTTCGAGGACTTAGAGGACATGGTATCTATTATACCAAACGAATATTTAAGTTCAACAAGTCGTTGGCATTTTTTTTTTCTGAAAAATGAGTAATGAAATCGAATATTTTCTTAAGACTAGCTCCAGTAAGCAGAAATGAATTGGTAAATGTTTAACAACCAATTGGGGTGCAGGTCCTAATTTACAGGGGTCACTGATTTCTCTAATGTTAATACATCTACCATTATTGATCTCAGAGTAAGAATGGGATGTCAATATGGTAGGAAAATTCCTGAAAATTTAACACTTGTCTCTAGCAGGCTCTGGCACAGAGAGAAAAGGGAGAACTAACACCAAAGAACCATTGCAGGTTGACATTAGAGAGGCCCACTGACTTGAAGTGGGAGAGAACAAGGACAGGAAGAGGATGAATAATGCTTCCCGCCAAATGATCCACCCAAGTAACACAAATGGGAGTGAACCAAAAAAAGAAAAGAGTAGCACCTCTAATAGGGTTTCATTGTGTGACACTCTACCTCTACACACACACACACACACACGGATACAGAGTAAAGCTCACACCATGTTGCTTTCTTTCTTTCCGTGTATGACCCAGGAAGCTGTAAGGGGCTGTTTCCCACAAACTGATAGGAAACATTTTCTTTCCTAAGAAATGAAAACTGCAATGAACCTAATGTCCTACCCAGGTATTAAGGAATATTAAGAAAAATCAAAGTAAGACCCAAACCACCTGGAATAGCCTGATTATCAAGAGCAAGCGGGTGCTCATCAACCTTTGTTTAGAATCCTTGACTCAGCGCAATCACCAGTCCCAAACTAACATCTTAAATTTTGCCCAGTTCTATGCCTTTCAAACCCCTGTTTCAATGTCACCAGGCACAGGCTCTAGAACCTTATAGGTACACTTCACTAGCATCCCATTTCAACCTTATTAGATCTTGCTAAGGGTGTTTTCCTATTATTGCTGTAATCCTAATAAATTTGGTTGCTTTCCAGCCGTCTAGCTGTGGCAATAGGTGGTCATGACAGTTGTAGGAAATCTCAATAAAAACCGCTTCACCTCTACTTTGCATATCTTGTTGGATGGAGGGTAAGGTTTTGAACTACAGCTATCACCTTGTGATCAGTGTGTTCAATGATGGGACCAAAGGCTGAGGATGCACAGTGGGATGGATGAGTGGAGGGTAGCAAGCATGGAAAGAGCGTGGATTAGAAAACAGCCACAATTCACGAACCTCCAGTCTTCCTGACCTTCCCCTGAGGGCTTTGGAGGTTTTGGTGCTATTCTGTTGCTCAGTATTGTTGTGGCAGGAGGACAGAATTTCCAGTGAGCCTCAGATTGGCAAGAAGAGCAGGCAGAGGCCATACTGATATGGAGGCATAAACTGTTCATGGCAGCTTTTAGAAACAGTGAGAAACCTCACTGGAATAAGGTGGCACCCAAAGTAAAAGCACATATCCTGGTGCCATTGAGATTCTATACAAACCAGTGGTTTGGTGGGTCTCAAAAGTTTAATTTTAAGCCTGGTGTGGTGGCGCATGCCCGTCATCCCAGCGGTTTGGGAGGCTGAGGCAGGAGGATCATGAGTTCAAAGCCAGCCTTAGCAAAAAAGCGGGTCGCTAAGCAACTCAATGAGACCCTGTCTCTAAATAAAATGCAAAATAGGGCTGGGGATGTGGCTCAGTGGTGGAGCACCCCTGAGTTCAATTCCTGGAAACTTCCCTCCAAAAAAGTTTAATTTTAGGTTGAACCACAGATTTATATGTAATGTTTATATATAGTGTTTACACAACTACTTGGTAAAATACACAGTAGGGTTTGTTCAGGTTCGCCATTTTGCGAGGCAGCGGCAGTGGCGGCGGCAGCGGCGGCTGGAGCCTCTGATTGGGTTTCGGGGTCCGGTACTGGAGCCAATCAGCGCGGGCAGCGAACCAGGGGAGCGAGGCACGGAGTGCACCACCTCACAGGCTTCTAGGCTCTCCAAAGTGAAGCTCACTGTGGACAGGATTCTATCTGGAAGGGGCCATGGAACAGTATACGGCGAATAGCAATAGCTCAACAGAGCAGATTGTTGTGCAGGCTGGACAGATTCAGCAGCAGGTCCAGGGCCAACCATTAATGGTGCAAGTCAGTGGAGGCCAATTAATCACATCAACTGGCCAACCTATTATGGTCCAGGCTGTCCCCGGGGGACAAGGTCAAACCATCATGCAAGTACCTGTTTCTGGGACACAGGGTTTGCAACAGATACAACTGGTTCCACCTGGACAGATCCAAATCCAGGGTGGGCAGGCTGTGCAGGTCCAGGGACAGCAGGGTCAGACCCAGCAGATCATCATTCAGCAGCCTCAGACAGCCGTCACTGCTGGCCAGACTCAGACTCAACAGCAAATTGCTGTTCAGGGACAGCAAGTGGCACAGACTGCTGAAGGGCAAACCATTGTCTACCAGCCAGTTAATGCAGATGGTACTATTCTCCAGCAAGTTACAGTCCCTGTTTCAGGCATGATCACCATCCCAGCAGCCAGTTTGGCAGGAGCACAGATTGTTCAGACAGGAGCCAATACCAACACAACCAGCAGTGGACAAGGGACTGTCACTGTTACATTACCAGTGGCAGGCAATGTGGTCAATTCAGGAGGAATGGTCATGATGGTGCCTGGAGCTGGCTCTGTCCCTGCTATCCAGAGAATCCCCCTACCTGGAGCAGAGATGCTTGAAGAAGAGCCCCTCTATGTGAATGCCAAACAGTACCACCGTATTCTCAAAAGAAGGCAAGCTCGGGCAAAACTAGAAGCAGAAGGGAAAATTCCAAAGGAAAGAAGGAAATACCTGCATGAGTCTCGGCACCGTCATGCCATGGCTCGGAAGCGTGGTGAAGGTGGACGATTTTTCTCTCCCAAAGAAAAGGATAGTCCCCATATGCAGGATCCAAACCAAGCTGATGAAGAAGCAATGACACAGATAATTCGAGTCTCCTAACCCCAGGCCATATGATGGAGCTGATCCAGGTCATATTCCTTGCCGATGTTTTCCACTGTTCCAGGAAATTGATCTACTCTTCCAATGGGACACTGACGATCACTTCTGCCCTTTTCTACAGGACAGAAACCACTTAGTTTTTAATAAGTGGCTCAGTATTATAATTGCAGCAATGTCTGGCAAATTGAAGTTGCAAGCCTTTGTCTCACCCTTTCAGTCAGGACCTATTTTAGACTGTTTAACATTTGACATTTCATGGATTAGGATGATACAAGGAGACACTTGCCAGCCCAGCAGTATACAAGCACTTATGTTGACTGGTGAAGCCAGCCAGCCATCTCAGCAGGGAAGAACATCCTTCTCGACCTGAACTGCAGTCAGGGAAGCCGCAGCTCATTCCTTCCCATGGAATCTAGATAGCATCCATCCCTCTGGTGGGGGATCTCAGGCTGACCAACTGAATAGACACTTTGTATTCAGATGGCCTCTGAGCAAGAAAGTTCCATACTGTGATATGAAAACAATAAATTCTCTGAGATACAGCCATCTAATCTGTGGTAATAATAAGAATCTCTGTGGGTTCATATTTTTGGACTCTAGGGATAAAGTGATAAAATTTTGAAGAAGCTAAAATATACATTGCTGAATCTCTCTTTTTAGCTTTGACAAGTTGTGGTCTGCTTGTCTCTGTTAACAGGTCATCAGGACCATAGGTCTTGCTGTGGCTACTTTTCAGACAATATAGAGGGTCCTGGAACTGGAAACTGCCTTTCCTAAGTAGAAAACAAAACTTTTCAAAAACTTCTGTGCTGATGCACTGAAAACATCTGTAGTAATTCCTAAACAGAGAGGCAAATTACAGATTTTCAAGTGTAGTCTTTTTGATGACATTTGGGGAATAGAAGAGTGTTTCAGTCTAGGAAGAAAGAGAAAGAGTAGTCTACCTATCAGGTGTTGTCATAGAGCTTGATTCTCCTCCAGTGGATGAGTACCTGGAATGGATCATTAAGATGAAGAGACTAATTCACATTTATTCTAAAACCTTTTTACAAGTACTGCCAGGGAGAATTTTGAGATTGAGTCCTTGACAAAGGGCCAGGAAAGCACTATTCAAACACACTGTCCTGGACATAGTCCAGGTTACCTGCTATAGCTTGATGTGGATGTTGGCCTCATTCCAGCAGCATTTTGTGCTGGCTCCAGAGAGCAGACATTCTTATTCTTCCCATGGCAGCTGATTCTTTGGTGCCATTTGCATTTGTTTTCCCCTTTCTCCATAGGCCTTGTGCAGAAAGGTTTTCACACTGCACCCATACTATAGGAATAAACTACAGTCTGGAAAAAAGTAGAGATGCCTGCAGGGTCAGGAACTGAGCCACAGTTGCCAGAATGAGTTGGACCTCAGAAATCTATTTTCCAGGTGTTGAACTCTGGGAGACAGAACCAAGATGATATTTCAGAAGAGTTGGCTGCCTTCTCTGGAAACAAAGAAGGAAAATCCAATAATTCTGAAGACCATTTGGGGTTGTCTTAAATACCAAGAGTAAAGATTGCATCCTTGATATCACTCTAAATGCATTAGGACAGAAAAGAAACCCTTTGAAGAGAAAATCAGAGGGGGAGGCCATAGTAAAGGTAGAAATAGAGGTATAGAGCTATGCAAAGGAAACTGGAAGTGAAATATCTTCCTAGATCCGGGAATCTAGTAGTTTTTCCTGCTTTCCAGGTGTCAGAGGGCTGACTCTTTGGTAAGCTCACTCGAAATTTCTGGCTCTTTTATGTTTCAGAAATTAGACCACCCCAGTTTTTTCAGATAACATTAAAGATGATGAGGAATTTATCTTGGGGTTAGTTTAGGAGTCTAAGATGGAGAGTTTAGAGAGAGATTCCTCAGACCTAATTTCTAGTGCTGAAGCCAATGGTGGTTCTAAAATACTATTTATTTGTGTCTATAAGTTTGTACATAGTAATACCAACCTCATTGTTACTGAATTTTTCATGGAGGGGGGCAAGTTTGACTTTTGTTTGAAATGAAATGCATCAGTTGTCATTTTGTCACTGCATTTCAGATAGCTCATGACCCTTTTATAATGGTTATTTTTTGCACACCATAATAGCCCACAAAGTGGGAACAGGGGAGTTGACCTTTGGATTTTTTTTCCTTTATTACTAATTATTCTACTCATTTGTCCTTGTGACTGCAGTGATGACTTCAATGATGCAGAGCGAACAGATGAATGAATAATTGGTTTGATGCATAGTTGTGTCACTTCTTGAGAGCTTTTTTCTTTTTTTGCAGGATAATTGTAAATGTATATATTTTAATTGCACTGGTACATTGAACGTGTCAGTGTCTATGCCACTGGACCAACAGCATTTTCTAGCTACAGGGTGCCTAATAATGTCTTGATTTTCCTTTGGGGCTCACTATATAGGTTTTCTCCCAGCTGTAGGGGGAGTACAGGCTATCAATCATTGATGTCATTGCAATTGTTATTTTTTAAAATAAATTTATTAAAATACTAAAAAATGATCTGAAAAAAAAAAAAAATACACAGTAGGGCCATTCTAGAAAACAATAACGTACTATATATTTAAAAAATCTGGAACAAATGATTTTTGAATATTTTCAACATAAAGAAATGATAAATGTTTGAGAAGATAGCTATGTTCACCCTGATTTAAACATTATACAATGTATACATGTATTGAAACCTCACAGTACCCCATAAATATGTATAATTTTTTATGTATTCATTTAAAAATAAATTTAAATGAAAAACATTCATACATACGGTTTAGTTTTGTGAAATTTCCATTCCACAGCAATTCTGCAGTGTCTGGTACCTGTGTGCAGGTATAGGATGTGTCTGCAGGACCCTTCTTCAGTTGAGGGGAAAAACCATCCACCATCAGGTTTACTGTTCTCGTTCTCCTACTTCAGGGTGCCTGGGCTGTTCTATGTCCCAAAGAGAATACTCAATTTATGAAACAAGTATTAATGAGCAGTTTATTACATTAACTTTAAACATTCATACTAATTATCACCCATTCACATTCAAACTATTGCTGACAACTTGTTTACAGCAACCAAGCTGTAAACATTAGCCCAGTCATTTCACACAAGTTTAAAGAGACCTCTCAGGATCACTGGAAGACAAAACTACTCAGCAGGTAGTTTACCACCGGCCCCTGCACCAAATCCCAGTTGGAACATCTTCATGCCTTTGTTGTTACAAGAATAATTTTCTATATTAGACTGTTTTCATTTTATGAAGTTTCCTCATAAGTGCTAACTTTTTTTTTTTTTTTTTGGTACCCGGGATTGAACTTGGGGGTATGTGACCACTGAGTCACATCCCCAGCCTTATTTTGTATTTTATTTAGAGACAGCTAACTTTTTTTTTTGGTACCTGGGATTGAACTTGGGGGTATGGGACCACTGAGTCACATCCCCAGCCTTATTTTGTATTTTATTTAGAGACACGGTGTCACTGAGTTGTTTAGTGCCTCACTTTTGCTGAGGCTGGCTTTGAACTCATGATCCTCCTGCCTCAGCCTCCAGAGTCGAGGGGATTACATGAGTGCACCATCGTGCCCGGTAGTGCTAAATTCTTTTACCTGTAGCAATTTAAATACTTTATTGATTTATTTTGACCAAATTCTTTATTTGCCCAGGATTTAAGTTGTTTGAAGAGCTCTCTGGGCCTTCACTATCTTGCCTTTTACTGGCTTACTTTTACTCCCTAAATCAGTGATGTTCCTCTATTTTTCTTACCCTTTTCTCTGGAAGTATATAGATTTTTCCTACAAGAGTTAAAGGTTTGATAACACCTCAGCATATTTAAAAAAAATCTTTCGTAGGATGATTATCATAGAAATAATCTGATATTGCCGATAACCTCCAACATTTACATTTTCTTGGTTGTCTAAAAGAAACACAGCCCATGATTTATTCATTTTTCATTGCTTTGAACTTAATTTACCTTTATGAAAAAATACATACAATTTAGTTACAAGATCAGACAGTGCTATAAGGTTTATAATTAAAGTATCAAAACAAAACAAAACTACAAGTCCAGGTCTCTTCTCCGACCTCCTGCTACAGAGACACAGTCATGTTCAACTTTATTTCTTTAAATAGAATTTACATTAGATTTCTTAGCTTTTTAATTTTAGATAGTATCAGTAGCTTCCTCTTATTATTCCTCACTCCCTACAGAGCTTTTCTTCCCATATCATTTCAATAGATTGCAGAGTACTTGATTAAATCTTTTTCTATGGTGTACTTTGTGAGCAAGAACTATTTCTCAGCTGAGCAAAGACACTCTTCACTGATCAACAATTCTTATGTAGTTAACAATTGTCTCATTTTCCTATGTTGTTTTATCTCTTTCTTTCTTTCCTTTCTCCTTCCCTTCCTCACTTCCTTCCTTCCTTCCTTTTTCTTTCTTCCTTTCTTAATATTCAAACACAAATTTATCTCTCAACTTTTCTATGAGGCTAGAAAGCTTTTCTTGATATAGTCAAACATCTATCAAATGATGATTTCTATTTATTTTTTTCCTGCAAGGAATCTTTTCATGAATCTTCTATATTTGGTTCTAATTTGGGACAGCTGTTGCCATCATTCTAGGGATTTCTATCTTTCAAGCATAATTTTAGTAATCACTTTACCTTTTTCCTTTCCTATAGGAGCTATAATAAGCAGAATTGGATCATGGTTAAATATGATAGGCACACCAGAAAAGTCTGTTTTATTAAATGTCTATCATCCATTTGTTTACTTGTCTTGCCAGTAGTAGGAACTGAACCCAGGGGTTTTCCACTACTGAACTACATCCCCAGAACACACACCCTCTCCCTTTATTGAGGCAGGGTATTGTTAAGTTGCCAAGGTTAGACTCAAACTTGTGATCCTCCTGCCTCAGCCTCACAATTCACTGGGATTACAGGTATCCACCACCATGCCTAGTGTGCCTATCACATGACGCAACAAGCAGACAGTTCCTGATAAGAACCCCAAAGCCACGCTGCCTCATCTCCCAGGGATCTTTGTTCTCTTGTGTAAAATAAATGCTAGGTATATGTGATCACTTAATAAATATTTGTCACTCTTCATTCAAAGTCGTTGCCACATGGAGTTTATAATCCAGAGAGAAGACAAATAATAATAACAAATAAATAACATGAATTCAGATAATGAATATTACTGTAAAGCAAATAATGTAGACTGAGAGGTAAAAGAATGAGAGAGTAAGGACTAGAGAGAATTTTAGGGAAGCATTTTGTGGAGGTCAGACTGAGGAAGGCTAGAGGGAGAGTTAAGGACGTGGAAGTTGGGGAAATGGAAATGAAGGAAGATAAGAGCTTGGCCTGCTGTGGGAAGAGGGGAGACAATAGGAAAAGTTAGGGTTGGAACATACATTGAAGGTAGCGCTCGCAGCATTTGTAGGTAATTTGGACATAGAACAGGAACAAAGCAAAGGTATCAGTGATGACTCTCCAAAGTACATCAGACCAAAGGGAGCACCTGAAGCCTGCAGAGAACACGAGGTGCCTTAGAGGTTGGCCATTTGGGAATTTGATTGGTTATAAGAGAAGCAGTGGAGAAATGCAGCAAAGAAATGTTGAATCGAGGGTCAATGAGCACCTTACAAGCTCTGTATTAAAGGATGGTTTTGTTTATAATAGATTTGAGAAGAGATAATTGCAAGCAATGAGGGAGGCTAGGGCAGGGCACAGTGGTATACACCTGTTATCCCGGCAGCTGGGGAGGCTAAGGCAGGAGGGTGGCAAGTTCAAAGCCGGCCTCAGCAACTTAGCAAGACCCTGTGCAGTTTAGTGAGACCCAGACTCAAAATAAAAAATGAAAAGGGCTGGGGATGTGGCTCAGTGGTTAAGTGGGTTCAATCTCTGATATGAAAGGAAGGAAGGAAGGAAGGAAGGAAGGAAGGAAGGAAGGAAGAGGGAAGGAAGGAGGAAATAAAATAAAATAGATTTTCATTTTTATCAAGCAATTCACCATTGACCACGATTTCATATTAATATATTTACCTTGGTCAATAGCAAATGTATAACAAATTATTATTTTAAAATTGACATGCAATATTTAAATTCAACTCTCTTTCTTTTTATTCATCCTACCATATCCATCTATTGCAAGACAGAATTGCTCCTTCTACTAAAAAAAAAAAATTAAATTCCCTAACAAAATCAATAAAACATGGATTGGATCAGTAAGACATTCTTGGATGGATTTTCACACATATTTTTCATACACATTTGGAAAGAGGTTTTGGTCTTAAAGAGAGGAAGTATGACCTAGTCCCCCTCTAGACCCCCAAAGTTTTATAGCCCCAGAAAATTAGTAATACCTCTGCCTTTTTCTTCTACAACAAGTAATCGATTCCTCCAGGAAGTCAAGGACGGTAATTCTCAGAGGAAATTCACATGATGAATTTCTCTCTGGACTAACATTCACAGCTATTTGAAGTTCTGAGTCTCAACATCAGACGTAGGAATCACTTTTAGCATTAAAACTTCCACAGGCCAAAGGGCAATGATAAGAGTTAAGGAGATTGCACAACAGGGACCTTTACCTCCATCAACCACCCTCTTGGTCAAATAGAAAATCCACTAGTATCTCTAGTATCTGAAATGGCCACTTAGTTCTCCTATCTGAAACAAGAAACACAATACAGTGTAATCCTGAGCTGACTGAAGAATGTTTCTTCGGATGAACACAATGCTCATTAAAACACTCATTTAGGAAAAAAATTTAAAAAATAAAAACAAAAAAGCTCATTCACATAAGGTCATAATCTATTTTTTAATTAAAAAATTTATTACACAAATCTGTAAATACATTTCTTGAAAATAGTTTTATATTACATTTCCTGCTTCTTTGGAAAACGTGAATTTCATGTTCATATCTTGCCAGCCCTCACCTCCCCCTATCTTCCCCGAGTCGACCTTAGATATCTGACTGTGAAAGGTTTTAGGGAGATGTAATCTGTGTGGGTGGCAGGAATAAAGAGCCTGTGTTTTCAAGAGTTTGAACTATGACTACATGGTGATTTTGAGCATATTGTATCTATTTCATATGTCTCAGTAAAATAAAACAAAAGTATCTAACTCTTAGGGTTAAAAAGCCTAAATGAATGTAATGAAAGTATTTGGAGGGCTGGAGATGTATCAGTGATAGAGCACTTGCCTACTATCTGCAAATCCCTGGGTTCAATCCCTCGTATTGCAAATACATAAATAAATAAATGAATAAACAGAAGAAGAAAAGAGAGAAAGCATTTGGAATCTTACCTTAGTAAATAGCAAATGTATAACAAATTATCTTATTATTTTAAAATTGACATGCAATATTTAAATTCAACTCCCTTTCTTTTTATTCATCCTACCATATCCATCTATTGCAAGACAGAATTGCTTCTTCTCATGTGAGGGTAAATTTTCAATTTCACACTTGATTCTCTCCAGGGCAAAAGTTCCATTCTCTTATGTACTTTCCAATTTGTCAAGACACAACTAAAATGCAACTTTTTTCATCTTTTCTCATCCCTCCCATGTGCATTTTAACTTTAATGTCCCACCTACAACGTTTGTTATACCCTAATTCAGAAATCTGAAAAATCAAAGCTTCAAAATCTTTCCCTATTCTCCATAGATTCTTTGTCCTCTTTATCCTGTAATGCTTTTGCTTGCTTTATACAAGATCAAAAGCATTAATTGCATTGTGTTCATTTATCTTTCCCTCCTTTAGCCATTATCTTTTATCTATCTAACAGACTATTTCAGCCAAACTGCCTTGTCTTTCCATTGAGGGAAAAAGGAGCTGGTCTACATTAGTCTCAGTGTGAGACGTCCTGCACCCCTCCCCCTAATGCTTACCCCAGAAATGTATTAGTGCAGCTGTAAAGAATCTCACAGTTTGACTTCTCTGTGTATTCCTAGAGCACTTTTTCCAAGTTATAACTACAGAACAAGATTGGATTTTCTACTTGATCAATAAATTTGTGGTCCAAGATACATTTGTTCCATACAATGTATTTTAAATGTACAGTTATCTTCTCAATGTATTGGGACAATCCCAGGTGACCAATATCACTGGAGGCATTTCTTGATAGTCTGAGATTCCCTAGGTCTTACTTGGCACAGGCATCCAAGATTTACAGTTTCTTAAAGCTACTTCTAGATATCTAACCATATCAACTATTTTCCTAAAACAGTCATTTGACCTTTAATCCCAGAGCCTGGGGAGGCTGAAGAAAGAGGATCGCAAGTTTGAACACAGCCTCTGCAATTTAGCAAGACCCTGTCTTAAAATTGAAGAGAGAGAGAGAGAGAGAGAAAGAGAGGGAGAGAGAGAGCTCAGTGATAGAGTGCCCTTGGGGTCAATCCTCAGTATTGCCAAATCAAAACAAAACCCAAACAGCTATTTGATTGGCAGTCCTAGATCAAAGCATGCATCTTGTCTGTCACTGAGGATGAATGCAAGGCCCATCAAAATCTGCATCCTAATTAATAGTCCATCTTTGTATGGCTCTGCACTTTAAAACTTAAGATTGCTTGCCACACAAAAGACTATATCCATTGAACTCACCAGCCATTTTTCTCTATTTGTTGTTTCTTACTGACTTTCTTCTTGATCTTGGCTACAGATTTACCAAGAGAGTTTGGAAAAATAATGTCCCCCCACCCCGCAGATTCTGATGTAATTGGTGTGGAAGTGTGTCTTGAATATTAGAATTTTTAAAAATTAATTAATTTATTTATTTGTTCTAATTTGTTACACATGACAGCAGAATGCATTTTGATTCATAGCACACATATGGAGCAAAATTTTTTATTTCTCTGATTGTACACAAAGTAGAGTCATACCATTCGTGTCTTCATATAAGTACTTGGGGTAATGATGTCCATCTCATTCCATCACCCTTCCTACCCCCATAGTCCCTCCCTTCCCTTCCCTTCCCTTTGCCCAATCCAAATTTCCTCCATTCCTCCCATGCTCCCCCCCCCACCCCCATTATGAATCAGCATCCTTATCAGAGAGAACATTTGGCATTTGATTTTTTGGGATTGGCTAACTTCACTTAGCATGATATTCTCCAACTCCATCCATTTACCTGAAATGCTGAGTGATATTCCATTGTGTATATATACCAGTTTCTTTATCCATTCATATATTGAAGGGCGTCTAGGTTGGTTCCAGAATTTAACTATTGTGAACTGTGATGTTATAAACATTGATGGGGCTGTGTCACTGCAGTATGTTGTTTTTAAGTCCTTTGGGTACAAACTGAGGAGTGGGATAGCTGGGTCGAATGGTGGTTCCATTCCCAGTTTTCTAAGGAATCTCCATACTGCTTTGCAGATCAGTTGCACCAACTTGCAGTCCCACCAGCCATGTACGTGATATGCCTTTTCCCCAACATTCTCACACTTATTGTTGCTTGTATTCTTAGTAACTACCATTGTGACTGGAGTGAGATGAAATCTTAGAGTAGTTTCGGTTTGCATTTCTCTAATTACTACAGACGTTGAACATTTTTTTTTTTATATTTGTTGATTGATTGTATTTCTTCTTCTGAGAAGTGTCTGCTCAGTTCCTTAGCCCATTTATTGATTAGGTTATTTGATCCTGGAGATCTGATGTACATGTGGTAAAGATCTGCTCCCATTCTGTAGGCTCTTTCTTCACCTCACTGATTGTTTCTTTTGCTAAGAAGAAGCTTTTTAGTTTGAATTCATCCCATTTGTTGATTCTTGATTTTATATCTTGCGCTTTAGGAGTCTTGTTAAGGAAGTTGGGGCCTAATCCCACATGATGAATATTTGGGCCTACTTTTTCTTCTATGAGGTGCAGGGTCTCTGGTTTAATTCCTACGTCCTTGATCCACTTTGAGTTGAGTTTTGTGCATGGTGAGAGATAGGGGCTGAATTTCATTTTGCTGTATATAGATATCCAGTTTTTCCAGCACCATTTATTAAAGTAACTATCTTTTCTCCAATATGTTTTTGGTGTCTTTGTCTAGTACGTGATAATTGTATTTCTGTGGGTTTTTCTCTGTGTCCTCTATTCTGTATCATTGGTCTACAAGTCTATTTTGGTGCCAATACCATGCTGTTTTTGTTACTATTACCCTGTAGTATAGTTTAAGATCTGGTATTGTGATGCCACCTGCTTCACTCTTCTTGCTAAGGATTGCTTTGGCTATACTGGGACTCTCATTTTTCCAAATGAATCTCATGATTGCTTTTTCTATTTCTATGAGGAATGTCACTGGGATTTTGATTGGGATTGCATTAAGTCTGTATAGTGCTTTTGGTAGTATGGTCATTTTGACAATTCTGCCTATCCAAGAACAGGGGAGATCTTTCCATCTTCTAAAGTCTTTTTAATTACTTTTCTTTAGCATTCTGTAGTTTTCATTTTGTTAAAAAAACAGCAACAACAAAAACTTCTTAGATGACTTCAGGATAGACAGAATTTGCAGGGGCTGAGGAAGCAGTTCTATTTGCCTAGCATGCATGAGGCCTTGATTCAATTCCCAGCACTATTAAAAAAAAAAAAAAAAAAAAAAAAATAGCTCTCAAACAACTAAACAGAAAAATTTGAAAACCTACTGTCATATATGAATATTGCTTTTACACCAACTGTTTTCTGGGTTGAATTATGTTTTCCCCTCCTTCCAATTCTCCCTAAAAGAGATAAACTGAAGTCCTATATCTCAGAATATAACTTTATTTGAAAACAGGGTCATCATTGATTAAAAATGAAGCTATTTTTTTTTCTTTATATTTGTGTGGTGCTGGGGGTCAAACCCAACCTTTGTGCATACTGGGCAGGCATTCTATCACTGAGCCATAACCCTAACCCTAAAATGTAGCATACTGTAGGGTCGATCTCTGATTCAATGTGACTGGTGTCCTTATTAAAAAAAAAAAAAAAAGTTCATTTGAAAAGACAGATACAATGAGAGAATACCAAGTGAAGACAAAGACAAGGGTAGGAAGATTGTATCAACAAACCAAAGAACACCAAAGATTGCCAGAAACTATCTGAAAATGCGAGACACAGAAACAGTCCTCAGAAGAAACCAATTTCAGAGGTCCAGACTCCAGAATTTCAACACATTTCTGTTGGTTAAGCCACCAAATCTGTGGTCCTTTGGAACCTCCAGCAACTGAATATGCCCTATACCTGGTAAAATCCTTTTTTTTTTTTTTAACCAAATTGCTAGGGTCAAACCCAAGACCTTGTGTATGATAGACAAGCACTCTACCACCAAACTACCCCTAGCACAGGTACACTTCCTCTCCAGAAGGACCTTGATATCCCATCAGCCCACAATTTATCACAGTATCTTTTCTTATTGCTTTCCCCCACTTTCTTTCAATATGTATTATTATTTATATACCAGGGACTGTTTGGCATCAGGAGATAAAAGACGAACAAAGCGGACATTCTTATGAAATTTACAGTGTAGTAGGGGAAGAAATTG